TTGTCATACTTCAACATCGCTTGCTCCCACAGATTGAGCTTGACATAACCTCTCCTTCCCAAGCCACACATCATGCGGGGTGTTCTTCAAGTCGCCCTACTTCTGCCTTTGGCCGTGGGGAATGCGCTTCCCCACGACCGAGCGCAGTTTAAAAAGAGACCCTTCGACCATGTTGACGACATTCTCGCAGGCTTGGGTAGCATCAAGCAGGACCTGATGGCTGGTGGCGCTGCAATCAACCAGCAGCTCTATCAAGCCACTCAAAAGCCCGCGCAGTACGAAAAGTGCAACCCCAGCAACGTCCAAGTGCGGCAGGAATGGTAAGTCTCCGGAACCTAATGCTCCTCGATAACCATGCTGATCGTCTTGAAGGTCTACCTTCTCCAAGGCTGAGAAGAAGGCATACATTAGTGCGGTTCAGTGTCTAACTGAGCTGCCGTCAAAGACACCGAAGGAGATGTGCCCCGGTTGTAGAAATCGCTATGACGATTTCGTGGCCACCCACATGCAGCAGACCTTCAACATCCAGTAGGTCTCCCTTTGGAACACGAATGTGATATACGTACTGACTTTGTCCACCAACGTCTAGCGTTACGGGTAATTTCCTTACATGGCACCGATACTTTACCTGGGCGTATGAGCAGACTTTGCGCAATGAATGCGGCTACAAGGGCACGCAACCTTACTGTAGGTGTCTCTGTACGAACTGCATGTGATGCATACGCTGATTTCGTACACCAATATCTAGACAGCTACTCCAGATGGCACAAAGATCCTACAAAGTCGCCTCTGCTCGACGGCTCTGCGACGTCGATTTCTGGACAGGGCGCTAAAGGATGCAGCAATCAGACATGGACTGGAGTCCCGTCGAACGATCAACCAGTCATCAAGATTCCGCATGGCCAAGGTGGTGGCTGCGTGACCTCAGGACCGTTCACGAACTTCACTGTCAATCTCGGACCGTTGGTTCCTGCATCCAAATGTGTCCGACCGAATCCCGATCCGTCCGGCCTAGGATACAACCCCCGTTGTCTCATGCGCGATATCAACGGCTTCACAGGAGAGGGATGGCTGAAGGACGACGACGTGGTTTCTCTGCTCCAGAGTGACGACTACCAAACGTTTTGGGAGGTTTTGCAAGGTGGGCCAATGGGGAACAGCTTCGCGAACGGTTTCATGGGCGTGCACACGGCCGGTCACTTTATCATTGGCGGCGATCCGGCGGGTGATTTCACGGCATCTCCTGGAGATCCCTACTTCTTCTTCCACCACTCGTCGATTGACAGGCTTTACTGGACTTGGCAGAACCTGAAGCCGAGTGAGCGTACAACTGCCTTGTATGGACCTACCTTCATCGGAACCCCGACCTCGCCCAATGCAACACTCAACGACACCCTGAGCATGGGGGCAGCATATCCTGGGCCCATCACCATAGAAGATGCGTCGAGCACCATGGGCGGACCATTCTGCTACATCTACATTTAGCCTGTAGTGTTTTGGCTTCGTCGTTTTTGGAACAATTTATCCTTTGGATTGGTATTGCACTGTTCCGTTCGTGATACGTGCGCCGAGTTTCGATACTGATCGTCGTTGACACATTGTCGGAAGAGCCGAAGTCGGACCTAGAGTTGCGATGCTAGACATTAGGTGGTACCTGGTTCCGATCAAGCTCTTCTGATCAGCTGTGGTACAAGCTGTTCGGCCTTCCATGTGATTTTAGCATGTGACATCGCGATAGCGATGGTTGTTGGAGGCGATACCCAAGAGCATCGATGCAGGCAATGACCGTGAGAGGCGGTGCGGCACCGATCCACGAACTCTGCCTTCCCCAGCAAGGTTGCGTAGTTGACCGTCGCGTCGCCCGACGGCGCGCAGATTGACGCCCTGGGCGGGTGTTGCCCTTGACACAGCTATGGACAATGGTTTTGTAACGACGAGCCAAGAGCGACAAGTAAGTGCGGGCTAGTGTCATTGTTTGGGTCGTTGTGATGCGTCTGTGATGGAATGGTAGTGACGACTTGTGGCGGCGCTTGGGCAGCCGGAGATAACTGCCCAAGTTCACTATGTCCGGCACTACAAGATTGACCGATTACTGTCACCTCAGTCTCCCAACAAGCAAACCCATGATGTCGACCACTTGAACGCAATCGCACCTATTGATTCTGGAGTTTGGTGTGTCATATCCAATTTCTACACGAGTGCGAAATCTTCACCCAGGAAGTGCTGTCCTGTCGTCTATCATACCTAGGTAGATTTTGATCAAAGTTGATTGGGAATCAGCATCTGGGAGAGGCAGACTCGAGCATGCAGACACTCGAACGGCATCGCTGCAATATGTGATTGTAGTGTCACCCGATCGCTAGTGCATCCCAGCTAGTCTTGTAGATACGAGCTTGATCTAGGGCACTCTCGAGCTGTTATTGAACTCATTTAGCGCAAGTACCAATAGGTGGCACAGTCGAACTGTCGCAATTCTATAAGACTATCCATACTAGAAGAGATAGAGATAGTCTACGGCTAACTTCAGGCCATGAGATATCAGGATAAGTATAATCCGCAACGCTCAAGAGATAGCGAAGACCTAAGAGAACACGCCCCGAAAACCACCAGTCCAAATAATCTACCTGCTCATCGTCTGTGCGATACGTACTCAAAAGGATGCAGGGGGTCAACAACCTAGTCCAGCTGCCGAGATAAGTCCCTGCACCAAGAGGTGGGAAGCCAACCGTGGGGTAATTATAGTCAGGCCAATACTCCTCGTAGGTAGTTTACACTACAATTGTTAGGTCTCAGTCAACAGAAGCTCCAAAGCGCTATTCCGCAGTCAACGGCAGCCTAAGTTGTTTAGGTATTCAGTGATGTACAAAATACTGCACCTGCAACACGAGACTCGAAGAGCGATACCAAGTGATCTTAAACTCAGTACATACTCGCATCTAAATTATCGGCTTTTTGCAAACGTCTTTACATTATGCAAAAGCTGATACAAAAGTAAGACAAGACCGAAAGCATCAGGTAATGATTTGGCGATGCATCTGTGAAGTTCGTCCGCCTCAGTACTGCGGAGTTCCGCAGGACGGGAAGTGGATGAGTCGCGACCCCCCTGAACCCCATAGTCGTGACTGCTGCGTGTTGTACAAAATGAAATCTGCCCCAAAATCGACTAAGGGCCTTCGTGATCTTCTTACCTCTTTCCTCCAAATCTACATTTCCTTCTTTCCATCTCATCTGTAAATAAAACCCAACATGGCGACCGATGTCAATGTCCAATCACTTATCGGTCCCGACCCACCTGCTTCTGTGAAAGGGCAGATGGCAGCGATGCGATGGGCTAAGCAAAACCCGCCTAAAGACCCAAAATCGTCCTTTGTGGGAAAGACAGTGATCATCACTGGATCGAATACTGGGATCGGCTTGCCTGCCGCCACGAAGTTCGCTACCAACGGTGCCTCCAAAGTCATCCTCGCAGTACGCAATCTCTCAAAGGGGGAAGAAGCTAAGCGCGCTATCATCGCAGAGACGGGCTGTAAAGCCGAAGTCATTGATATCCTCGAGCTCGACATGAGTAACTGGACATCTGTCAAAACCTTCGCCAACGATGTCACCAGCAGATACGACGAGATTAATATCGTCGTCTTGAACGCGGGGGTCGCGCCTCCGAGCTATGTCGAGAACGAGAGAACAGGCTACGAGACAGCCCTGCAAGTCAATATCCTATCAACGGCCTATCTCGCCATGCTACTGCTTCCCAGCCTCAAGAGTAACGCGTCCAAGGGTACTCCAGGCCAGCTCACCATAACTGGCAGCTTCGCTAGCAAGTATGTCACGCCTGCAGACGCTGAAGTCAAGAGTGGTCAGACATTGATCGACAAGCTGAATGACCCCACTGCTTTCAACGCCGCGAAGACGTATGGATTGATCAAGCTGGTCACGCAGTACATACGACAAGGCCTCGTCGACGACTTCTCCAAGGACGCCCAAGGAAATATCGACGTCTTCATCAATGTTGCATGCCCGGGCTATTGCACCACAGATCTGGGGAGAGATTTCCCATGGTATCTCGCGATGCCAACAAAATTGATGCAAATGTTTGTGGGACGCACAGCTGAACAAGGAGCGCGCGAGTTGGTCAGTGCCACGCTTCTGGGAAAGATCGGTCACAACCAATTCTGGTCTAATGACATACTGGATGAGTGAGTCCTCTGGACAAGTGTTGCACGCCATAGAAAATACTGACCTCCAGCAGTCCAGGTGAGCTGGTCATTGGGTACCAAGGGAATAAGCTGCAGTCACAGACATGGAATGAGATCCGCCGCATCTGCGAGAAGCAGGGACTGTAAGGTGACAGGGGCGGGCATCGAGCGGACAGGATGTGGGCGTTCACATGGCTTCTGTCTAATTGTTTCCAACAATATTATAGGTTTACGTCGCTCGTTAGGCTTCCCGTCCGCTCAGCCATATACAAGCATTGTACCGGCAGATTAGTACTCGGGGTCGTCTCTGGGTCAACTCTCGGTCATCGCAGCGTCAAACGCTGGAGGAGGATAAACTACATGCTCGCTCCGGAAAATGTAGGGATAAAGCGTGCATTAGCTTATTAACACACATCGCGCAATATCTCCGCATAGCGACATCCTTTATTAGTCTCTCTATCCTTTACTAGGCTATCTATCCTTTACTAAGCCCTCTATCCTTTACTAAGCCCTCTATCCTTTACTAAGCCCTCTATCCTTTACTAGGCCCTCTATCTTCTACTAGGCCCTCTATCCTTCATCAGACTCTCTATCCTTTATCAGGCTCTCCTACGTCATCAGGCTCTCTATTCGTCATTAGGCTCCCCATCCGTCATTAGGCTCTCCATCCTTCATCTGGCTCTCCATCCTGCACTTTAATGACGAAGCCTGGGAAAATGTAAATTGTATTCTCTTCTCAATTACAGGGCAAGGCCGCCATTGCTCTTCAGTTCGCCAATCAAGACTACCGCGCGCGTCTTCCACGTCCTAGTCCTCGTCTTCAGACTCCACAAGCGGTCTCTTACGTCTTGCTCTCTTGCTCGCAGTTCCCATTGCGCTCTCCTCGTTTTCCTGAAGGTTGGCCTTCTCCGCACGAAGAAGATTGTTCTTTGCCTCAGTAAAGACTACCCGGGCAATACGCGGAGTTTTTCCCTTCTTCATCGGCCAATCTTTCAGTATCAAATCACAGGCCGTGTCCAGTTCTGCTCTTGTCGCATCAGCGCTACTAAAGTGTTTGTTCTTGTTCAAAAATACGGCTGCGTAGCTGTTCAACAAAGACTTCTCTCTGTCGGTAAAGTCGATAGGGTAGGTGATTGAGCTCGCAGGTGGCATCGGAAATGTAGACGCCCATCGATGGGAGGCACGGATGGCTTCGTTCCAGACGACACCCCGCTGTTGTATGTTTTTGCCAAAAAGACCGTCTCTTTTGCGTCGACATGCTGTGGGCGCATACTCGTCGATTGCTGTAAACAATGAGCATAGCTGGGAGGAGACCTCAGTCCCTGCGTCGGCACAGTCCTGATCGTAGGGATGAAGGCGCTGCTTTTTGCACGTGGGGTTCGGCGTTCGCGCTGTTCTTTTCAGCTCTCTTGGCAACCTTCCGAGCTGTCCTGTCTGCAGTAGTACTACTACTTGAGCGTCTCCCTGTTGCCATCGCTTGAACTATGCTCTCTATTCTTTTGGGTCTTCCGGCCTTTGTACCTGTCTCTACCTTGAGCAGCGCTGTGTATCGATCGCCCTTGTTCATGCTTTCCCATTGAGCTTCCGCAGCAGGTACCTGAGCAAGCGCAATCTTGAGGTCTTCAGGCACTACGATCGTAGCAGACCCTGCGTACGCACGATCCCATCGCCCGTCTGCTTTCGCAGCATCAACGGCAGCCAGGCCAGCAGGACGCATTCGGCCGGTCTCAATAAGACGTGCCACCGTCCCGACGTTCTTCTGAGACCACATACTGTTCGCTCTCCGTGGTGTGTAGCGTACCGTCCACCAGGTCTCATCGCAGGCGTTGGCGCGACCATCTATCCAGCCATAACATAGCGCTACTTCGACGGCTTCCGCTGCCGTTATTGAGGGTGTGCCAGAATTCTTTTTGGCGAGCTTCACGTAGAGGCCGGGAGCCGTGGCATGTTCGCGCTCGAGAAAGGTTTCGAAATCTGTACACGTAGGAAACGCCTGTACGGGGAATTCGGGCGGTGTTGCCTTGGGCGGCATAGTAGCTAGTGTGGGGTTGCGGAGCAGCGGGAAACGCGATGCGGGTCTTTGCAACTGGACAGTGTCTAGTGAAGAGAGGGACATGCGGTCCTGAAGTTTGGCAGCATGCGCGTACCTATTCACCGTCATTAGAGATGGCGTGTAGTCGTGGAGTCGATGCATGTCCGTCGCAAAGATCGGAGAGGAGGCGCAGCACGTCAGGCGCGCAATCACGTGTGCACGTGTGCACGCGCCAAACCACTCTATCAAGTTGATGAGCAGAGCCGCCACTACACTTTCATCCATCGTTTGTGTCTAGCACTACGTTCGCACTTCAGCAGGCGATTGATATACGCTGTCTGCTCCCATTGCCACGTCTTCCACTGCTCTGCCTCTTCTCTCCTGCAACCCGACTGTGCCTTCCAAAGTTTAGCGAGATCCCGAGATGAGGGGTCCGGGGTAACGACTGTGGGCGCTGGGCGCGTCATCTTCAGGCAACGACCTGACACGCACGTGAAATCCTTGCAATACAAGCGCTACTAGTGCAGTTCAGTCTCAAGTTACGATTTGTCCGCTCTCACATTCGTTGCTACCCAATTGAACGCGCCTTCCATTGCTACAAGTCGCCATCTAGAGCTCAAGTCATTGGGTCTGTTCAACTCTGTTGACTATCAACACGAATGTCCAATACTCCCATCGCAAGAGCCGCTGCCCTGACGCGAGTAATTGGGCAGTCGGGTCGCCGTTACGTTGTCGAACGACTACTTCAAGACCGGCCGGGCAACCATGGACGTGTGTATCTTGCCACGTTAGTTGACACTATCCGAAACAAACAACATGGTATTCGTCTGACGTCTTTTGCAGCTCGGAGGATCGGAAATACGTACTGAAGACAGTCCCTGAGAAAACTTACAAACATTGCAAGACCATGTTTGACACTCTTCGCGGTACGCCTCACGTACGTGTTGCCGAAGACACCGACTCAGAACATTGCACTTTCATACATCCATACCGACGTGACCACCTACTGTCTTTCGTTCAGAAAGACGTTCCGCTTTCCACAACAAAACTCGTCCTTCGAGACGCTCTGCGTGGGCTCGTAGCGCTACACGCCAAAGGGATGGTGCACACCGACATAAAGCCAAACAATATATTGCTGGATTGGAACGATCAAGGAGGGGAGCTAGAAGTCAAAGAAGTGCAGATTGCTGACATGGAAGATATGGTTCGCCTCCCGGATAACCATTACATCAGTGGCAGGCAGTGGGGAAACTGGATGTGGCGCAGTCCAGAGGCGCACGCAGCGGCAGCGATACAAAAGCCGACAGACATGTTCTCCTTCGGTCTGGTTGTAAGTGGCCTACCACTTGCATCGTGCTTCAATGCGTAACTCAATTTCGCAGTGCATATACGCCGTGACAAAGGAAGCAGTTCTCGCTGTAGATCCAAAAAAAGGCTACAGAAGACAATCCAATCGAGGCCATCGTCGTTCGACGTCAGGTCTCATATTTCAGCGACCTAGAAGATATGGAAGGGTTGATCACCTACTTGGAAGATAGCCCCTGGATTGGCTACCTGAACTTCGTGATGGCGAATTTCAGCGAAGACTATCCGCGACGTCCACTCTGCCTGTGGAGCGATCTCGACGAAGATCTGAAGGATCTTTTGATGAAGATGATGAGTATGGACCCGAAACGACGCATCACAGCTTCTGAGGCTTTGGCGCACAAGTGGTTTGCGGACGTTCCTTAATGTATTTTGCAAAGCTCAGCGCTGTCGACTGTCTTTTGGCCCTTTGTACTATTACCCTCATGTAGAACGACCTCACCTCTCTCTATATACTTACCCGCTCAATCAAAATCTCTGCTCTAGGATCTTATCAACTTACAGCGTGCGTGTGTTTATGCATAATTAGGCACACTAGCCTGAGCCGCAAACGAGCGTGCGCCAAACTGCAAGATATAGTGGTAAAGATCAGGGTATAGGTCAAACATGCTGTCCGATCAGCTGCCCAGGTGTGCACCAGAGATCATTCAGGTTCAGTCTAGCCCGTGAAGTAGGATTTGCAGTCAAGACAAATCCTCGTTATAGTCGCAGCTGGGCGTCAAGCGTCAACGTTTAGTACAAGGGTAAATGTGCATGTGAGTGCGGGTTAATGGACCTATATTACTCGCTTGAATCCTATGATGCAGGACAAAGGCGGTCGAAGCCATCTAAAACACGACTGAAAAGGACAAAGCTCCGCCTCAAGTGACTACTGTAAACGTAGATAATAATGCGTGTCTATTGGAACGCTTGAACGCGGGTATCGTAAGCATAAAACCAAGTACTCCAAATGCTCATGCAACGCCTATCCTAACACTTCTTATTCCCGCTCACGGAATAGCTGCAGGATCCTTGGGCCAATTGGCCGCAAAGGCAGTCCATGGTGTACCTCGCATGACCAGATTGCCGTCCTTGTCAGGTACGTACAACTGTGGCTCATATCCCTGTACACTCGCCCATGACCAAAACAGCCGTCTCCAGTAGCAAGTCACTGCCGCTGGTGTCAGATACCTTCTGGTGAAGGTCTCGTAACTGTTCTTTGCAATCTCCTCAGCTTCGTTGTCATGCGCACGGTAGTACTCCATAGCCGATTCGAGGTTTCCAAAGTTCTCGGACGCTTCAATGTAGTTCACGTCGGGACCAGCAAGCCTCATTAGGTGAGTGTGGAACTCTTGCCATTCGAGAGGGTGTGTAACGAGGGCTGAGCGGCAAAGCTGGAGGTACTTAAGGCGGCCGGAGTACGAGGTACCTTCGGTTTGGACGGTGAACTTGTATCTAGAAGACGGTCAGTACGGTTTCATACCCATGTCGCAGCTTTGTCTCTTACCCGCAGAATTGCCTCAGATTCATAACGTCCTTGGTATGCGGGTCGCTGGCGTTGTTGATGACCACAGGCTTGATGTCGCTCCATTCCTTGCCTTCGCTGACTCGGACCAGCTCCTTCCTCAGCTTAGCCATCTTGACCTTGCCCCGCCATACGATCCTAGGGTCCTTCTTCGCCCATGGCAATTCGGTCTCCTTCTGCTCAATTTCTTTCCTGATGCTGTTCCAGCTTGGAGCATGGGTATAGTTCCACGCCCAGTACGCGTAGTTTGGCATCATCCAAATGTCCTTGTACTCCGGACCCTCCTTCCGGGTGTACCCAAAGAATGTTCCCTGTTTCCTGGATCGCCGCGGCAGATCGTCGAGCGAGAGGGAGAATTCGACGTTTGGGATCGAGGGGTCGGATGTTGAGGTGGTGGAGACGGCGCGGTCGATTTGTGCTAGGGTTCCTAGAATGCGTTCTCTCTCGTTTCCGTTCGTGACGTAGCATTCCTCTGGCTTTCCGGCATCGACGACAAACAGCTAGGAGTGGCAGGTTAGTTGTAGCCCGGAAATTGACCAGACGCGTATAGACGTACCTCGCCCTCGTATACCATAACCCGTAGCATGCATCTTCCCTGATCGATTTCGATATCCTGAATATGCACCTTTCTGCCTTGCCTTAGGCTAACCGACTGATCTAAGCTGTGATACAGCTTTGGAAAGGCGGAATCGCATTGGTCATGGCTGAGTGTGTGCACATTGGCATGCAGGTCGGCGTTGAAGTCCCAGTCTCGCTGAAGATTCCTATGGTGTGAAAAAGGAATATAGTTGTGTTTCGATTGCCCCCATATGGACCATAACTGGGTTGCGATCACAAAGGTCGAGATGTAAAAGACGAGGTGCGAAAAAGATAGACGGTACGCCTTTGGCATCATGATTGCATAACGAGTGAACAACGCGCGACTGTATTAACGAATGACTGAGGGTAAGTTGTGAGGTCGAGAGGCGAAGTTGGAGAGAGACAAGAATCCCAAGAAATGGACAAGACTCGAGAGAAAAGCCGCCTTCAGATAGTGCCCCATTTGATACGAGCGTCCATTCTGACAAGCGTCGACTGAGCACAGCTAACCATTAGTAGCGGAGGGTGTCCATGCGAACCCCTGGGCTATCCCCACACCATGACAGACTGGGCAAGTACGAGCTGACAGTTCGATCAAGGCCCTATCAGAGAGCCGCTAGAGCCGGACACGATAAGTGCATGGCCTGGAATACGATCAAAAGGATCTGAAGGTGTCAGGAAAGAGTGGATAGGAGTTGTTCGCCTGGATCGTTCAGGGGTAGAAGCTTCCGTCAGACCCTGGCGCTAAGACGCATCAGCCTCGGCTAGTCGTGTCTTTGGCTAGCTGGCGAGAGCACGCGCACGCAAGCGACTCTGACCGCAAACGCTAACGGGCATCAACAATCACGCCGGCCGCGAACCGCCATATTGGAGTCCAACCCAGTACCATAGAACCAAAAGTGCGCGAAGGAAACGTCTTGGAGCAGTCCCCGATGCATTGACGTCAAGCAACGCCATGCAATGGGAGAACTCTTGTTCGAGGGCCCACGCTGCTTAGCGCGGGAGCTTAACACTCCAGGTGGACTTATCCCCTGGCATCTGCAGCTCTATACCCTCAGCTAACTGTACATGGAGGTGATGGGACGTCGCAAGGCGAGCATCACAATCAGGAAGGTGGGATCCGCAACATCCGACGAGGATCAATGCGCCCCAACCCGTTCGACCCTGCGCCGCATAGAGACCCGAATGCCCCTCTATCTTACTATCAGTGACCTTTTTGGTGTTCGGAGCCATGTCAAGGAGAAACCCAGACCCTGCCACCTATCAACAATCGTCACTCTTGCTCCTGAAACATTGCATACTCGCCGACATAGGAACACAATCGTTCATTTGCCGATACGACACGGGCTGGTGGAACAACGGCTGAGTGCGGCACAGGACATTGACAGAATGCCTGACTGTGAAATGGAATGGCCTAATCCCGGTGGTTGATCATTTATCTGCTCTCACGCATTCGCTCGCATGCTCGACCCGGCACACGGCAATGCCATCAGAACCTTGAGGCATGATTATCTGATGTTCGAGAACCCACACGCCAGAAAAAGGAACTCCTCAACCGTTGGAGACGCTAGTCTTGCCTTGCACGCCTTCTGGTAGCCTTGAATCAAAAGCAACGCGAACATGACTACACAAGTGGCAATGCGAGAGTTCCGTCAGGCGACTACCCGAGATATAATGTGTATAGCGATAGCACTTGCAGGGGCGTAGTGGGGTGTGGAAACGCATATGCACTAACTCCACGGAAGAACTTCCACTTCGCGAACGCACCCATGGCTTGCCAAAGCTTATCGAGCGCTCGGACGCGCTCATACAGACTCTCCTCACGGTATTCTCAACATATGCATCATTTGGGGCATTTTCAAGCAACGAAAACAACTGTTTGTACCAACACGTCGTCGGGCGAAGAGGTCACAGTGCTCGCTACTCTCAACTGTTGTTCTTTTGTCTCTTTGCGCATTTCACTCCTGAAGACCAAAGAACAGCATACTGTCGTAAGCCGACACTCTCGTTGTCCATGTGCTGTTTGACGTCCCACCACACCAACGGCACATTTTTCAGCACTTCTTGTGTAGCCTCGATACCCAACTCATTGGCTTTCCCGCCGATATCGTTGAGTGTGAGTAGACGCTGATATCGTACAAGCTCCTGATCCTGCGACATGACGGGCAGCGTGCGGATGGTTGTTGGCAATTCCCGTGAGAATCGGTCGTGGAAATCAAGAACTTTGAAACACATGTAGCCGTTACTGTGGGTCGTGTGTCTATGTTTGTTTGGGTATGATTGCGCGTCAAACAAAGAGAATGCTCGAGTGAAATCCAGCAGGTTTCCGGGTCTCATCCTGAGGTGGTTTGTAGTAATTAAACCTCCAGGAACATGAACCTAGATATGAGAGGATATGGAATATTTTACTGATGGCAAGTGGTGAATGTATATCAGCGACAGCTTCTGTTCTGAACGTGACTTCTGCGACAGCATATCCAAAGACGCCTTGAAAATGCGAGCGACAACCGCTCAATGCAAGTCTAACAAATCATCTAGCCTCCAGCAAACACCTGCGCTATGCCAAAGCAAACCATACATGAATATCATGTCTCTCATACAAATCGTAATTCGTGCCATCATTTTTACTACCGCTTCTTGTTCTTCTTCCCACCACCCGGTTGCGCGACAGATTTCAGCGCCGCATGTTCGGGATGCTTCTTCAAGTGCTGATGCAGTTGAGTCTTGGACGAGAAACCAGCGCTGCAGCCATTACACTTGTTTTTGATATCGGGCTCTTCGCTCTCAGCCTGTTTTGCAGCCTTCTTCATGCGCTTCAACGCAGCCTTGCCGAGCTTGGGTTCCGGTGGGGCGGTGACTTCTGGTTCTGTGGGATCTTCAGGTTTAAAGTCGAGATCTTCGGTGGGTGCTGTGGAGGGTTCTGTGCTGGCGCCAGCAAGTCGTGCTTCTATTTCGGAGCGCGAACCATATTCGTCGTCAACGTCTGAGCTTGTTTCTGAGTCGACGGGCGATGCAGAAATTGTATTACTAGGTGCCATTCGGTCCACATGGCCTTCTTCCTCGTCTGTAGTGTGGTCGTCTATGTCAAGCTCATTCGTCTTTGTCGCGAGGTTTTTCACGGATGCATCGGAGTCTCCACCACCAGAAACTTCGGGTTCCATCGCAAGCTCATCCTCTACCGGTAGAATCTCATCGCTTTTGAGGGCATCTTCGTCCAAATCCAGATGGGCGTTGTCCTTTTGCATCTTTTTCTTGAGAGCCTGGATTGCTTTCTGATGCTTCT